GGTGGATGAGGTTCCCAAGGAGGCCAGAGGCTCCAGAGTCCTAAAGCCCCAAGTGGGGACCGAGGCTGAACTGAGTGAGCTGTGGCTCGTCCAGAGGGGAGCCCTGGGTTTCATTCCCGAGAAACTGGGGCCCAGGAAGGGCAGCCCGGGAGGCTCAGGCATGCTCCGTGGGGCCAGGGCCACCAGCGTGGGAGTGGGCAGGGGCCACTGCCTGCAGGGGGCCAGCGCTGGGCTCCGGGGATGCCAGCAGAGGGGCCGAGAGGCCGTCAGCGGAGTCTGTGTCGAGGTCCAGCCTCCAGTAAGCTTCGCACAGAGGCAGGTCATTAGCTTCGCAAAGGCTTGAGCTTTTCCACCACCAGAAACCCCAGGGAGAGACAGGAGCAGGCATAGAGGAAAGCCGGGAGGGGGAGCAAGACAGAGCAGAGTTAAGGAAACAGACCACACCAGACCTGCTTTGCCCTTCTTTCTCTGTGCGGCCCCTCCATCCAGCAGGCCTGGCCAGGGAGGGGGCCGTGGGGTCATGCTCGCATGCTGAAAGGAGGAAGCCACCCTGGCCCAGCCGGCAACAGGCCTGGGGACCTCGGCAGGCCCTTCCTGCCCTGCTTCCCCGGAGGACCTGTTCCCACCTGCTGTGCCTCCTGCCTGCCCCATCCTCTTCCTCCTGCAGGCTAGCAGCCTGGCTGCTCTCCCTGTTCCCCCGCCGTGGGAACCAGCCTCCAGGGCTATCTAGTCTCCCCTCAGTCACTACACTTTGGCCCTGTCTTATTTCTGGGGTCTGGTCCTGCCTGAGACTTGGCCTGACTGGGGTGACGGGAACACAGGCCTGGGCACCTCCCTGCACCCCAACCTCTGGCATGGGGAACACTCCTGGCACATGCGGGGAAGCGCACTGGGAAGGGGGCTCATTCCCCCTACCGCAGTACACAGGCGTTCCCCACCCGGCTAAGGTGCAAATGGTGGCCCTGGCTCTCTCCTACAGCCCACCCTGGGAGAGTGCTAGTGTCTTGGACATGAGCCAGGGTGGCTGAGAGGGCCCAAAACCTCTAAATATGAACTCGAAGGCCAAGAGGAGCAGCAGAGGCTCCCTCCCTTGCTCCTGCCCTCAGTGCTCAGTCTCAGAACGGTCCCGGACACAGAGAGGCATCCCCAGGAGAGCAGAGGGGCAGAGGCAGAGCCAGAAAGAGCAAGTCATGAGCAGAGGTGGGCAGCGGGCGGCTCATGCAGGGAGGGAGCAGAGTGACCAGCAGGCATGAGGTGACCTGCATTTGGGGAAGCAGCAGATGAAGCGACGGCCCTGACCTGCCGGAGCCCTGGCAGCTTAAAGGTAACATGCAGAGGAAGGGACAACTGCTTCTGCCACGGGGAGCTGTGGAGGGGGCAGGGCTGGCCTCCCTCCTTAGGTACCCAAGGGTGGCTGGAATAGACCGGATGGCCTGCAGGAAGGGATAGGCTGGTCTGTGAGGCCCTCTGGGAGAAGCCGATGGGGGAGGACACAGGGAGCCTGGTGTACAAGTGCCCAGGGTCCCCACCCAGCTCTGCTGCACAGTTGGGCAGATCCGTTTTCCACCCTGGCCCTCCCTTCCCTCCAGCCAGAGCAGGGCTGAGTGACCGTCCACAAATGCTCAGTCCTGGGGTCATAGGGGCAGCGGCTGCCTCGAGGGGACACACATGGGGATATGCAGGACTCCCAGGGCTGTGAAGGAAGACATATCCTTGAAAGGGTCTGGAACACCTCAGGATGCCTCTCTGCCACTTGTCTGCTGAGCTGACTGATATCAGGGAGCAAAGATGGCCCCAGAGCCTTATGGGACACTCTAAAACTGTTCCAGCTGAGCATTGGCACTGACCCCCAAAGAAGAAAAACCAAGTCCCATGTCACACCAGCTCCCAGCATGGTCTCTGTGGAGCAAGAAGGGACTTTTTAAATACACCACCAAGAAGAAAAGAGGTTTGTCTAGGAGAGGGCATGAGGTGGGCATCGACTCTGTCTGCTGGACTCCATCTTTTTTTATTTGTATTTTTTGTAGAGATGAGGTCTTGTTATGTTGCCCAGGCTGGTCTCAAGCTCCTGGGCTCAAGCAGTCCTCTCACCTCAGCCTCCCAAAGTGCTGAGATTACAGGCATGAGCCACCATGCCTGGCCTAGACTGAATCTTAATTTTCTAAGCTAATAGGGGTGGAAGTGAAAGCCTTCCTGTCTCCAGTCTCAGTTTCCCCCTACGTCAATCAAAGTTGGTGCCTGATTTCTCAGGGCCCCTCCAACTTAAGTGATCTCAGGTTTGGGGCTTCTAAGTGGCCCTACGAGGGCCAGGATACAGGGCGTGCACCTTCTGCATTCCCGGGGCCCAGCACAGGGCCTGGCATGCAGGCAGGCCCCAGCTCTGTGGATAAGGCTGATTGGACCAGAAAGTGGAGACCCGACTACACCTGGCCTGGTGTTCAAGGCCATTCTCTGCTTGAGCTTTGTCCTCCTCCCTCCTAGGACTGCCCCTGCCTTCACACTGTGGGGTTCGGTGACATCCACATGGAATTGCATTCCTGGGTGAGTGCTGGTGTCTTGGACATGAGCCAGGGTGGCTGAGAGGGTCCAGACTTGGCCAAAACCTCTAAATATGGACTCGAAGGCCAAGAGGAGCAGCAGAGGCCCAGAAGGCACTGCCAGGGGAGGCAGTCTCAGGAAGAGACCACTGCCTGGGGAGGTCAGGCAGGCACCCACCCTTCTCCAGCCTTGGCGGAAGTCCTGTGATTTTCGTCAGGCTGTGCTGTGGGGAGGGCCGGGGACCCGACAGGTGCTGGTGAGTTGTCTGTCCATCAAATGCTCTGGCCAGCTCTGCTCGGAAACTCGGGCACTGGCTCCACTGCCAAGGCCAGCAGGGTTTGGAAAAGCAGAAGCCCTTTAGGGCTGGGCAGCTGCACCTGCTGGCCAGGCCCAAGCAGGCGGGTGCCTGCTCTGCTCTGCACGGGAGTCCAGCCCTATTTGTACCTGGACGAGTAATACTCCTCCTCCAGCTCGTAGAGGTCGATGGAGATCTCATCCCGCAGGGCGATGAGCTTCCGGTCGCACTCCTCCTGTAGGGCGCGCAGCTGCTGGTTGCGCTGGTCAATGGCCTCGTTTACCGATGGGAAGTCATTGAGGATCAGGAACTGCTTGAGGTCAGACACCAGCTTCATGAGGGACTCCCCAGCTCGGACCTGCAGCCATCAGAACCAAGGCAGGCATAAGGTCAGGAGAGGATGGCGGCCCTGCCTGTGGGTGGCAGACACCGGGAAAGCAGTGGCCTCTCTGGGAGCCTCAGCTTTCTCGTCTGCGAAATGGGACTACAGTATTGACCTTTACAGGGTTGCTTGTGAGAATTAAGTGAGAAAACTAGAATGGAAGTTGCAGGAGGGCAGGATCACTAATTCCCACCTCAATAGCAGGTAGGGTGAGTTTGCTTCCGGAGCCCCGCCTCACCCCAGCCTCTGACTTCCACTCCTGCAGGACTGATCTTCCATCAGAGAAGTTATGCAAGTACACATTCTGCTCATTAGAGACTCATACCAGCCGGGCTTGGTAGCTCAGCCTGTAACCCCGCGCCTTTGGGAGGCTGAGGTGAGTGGACTGCCTGAGCCCACGGGTTTGAGACCCGCCTGGGCAGGCGAGACCTCATCTCTACAATAAATCAAAAAATTAGCCAGGCGTGGTGGTGCGTACTTGTAATTCCGGCTACTCGGAAGGCTGAGACGGAAGGATCGCCGGAGCCCAGCAGGTCGAGGCTGCGGTGGCCGGGAGTGGCCACTGCATGCACTCCAGTTTGGGCAACAGAGTGAGACTCCAACTCAAAAACAAACAAACAAACAAAAAAACCCACAAAAAAACTCATACCAGGACCAGGCGTAGTGGCTTATGCCTATAATCCCAGCACTATGGGAGGTTGAGGTGAGAGGAATGCCTGAGATCACAGGTTTGAAACCAGCCTGGTCAACTTGGCGAGACCTCATCTCTATAATAAAATCAAAAAAATTAGCTGGGCATGGTGGCATGTGCCTGTAGTTCCAGCTACTTGGAAGGCTGAGTTGGAAGGATCGCCTGAGCCCAGCAGGTCGAGGCTGCAGTGGCCATGGGCGTGCCACTGCACTCCAGCCTGGGCGACAGAGTGAGACTCCAACTCAAAACGAAAACAAAAAACAACCAACTCACACCACTGCTGGGTGCAGTGGCTCATCCCCGTAATCCCAACACTTGGGGAGGCTGAGCCACTGCTGGGCACAGTGGCTCACTCCTGTAATTCCAGCACTTGCTTGAGGCCAGGAGTTGAGATCAGCCTGGGCAATATAGCAAGACCCCGTCTCTAAAGATTAAAAAATCAGGCCGGGCTCGGTGGCTCAGCCTGTAATCCCAGCTCTTTGGGAGACCAAGGTGAGTGGATTGCCTGAGCCCGCGGGTTCAAGACCCACCTGGGCAACTTGGCGAGACCTCATCTCTACAATAAATCAAAAATCAGCCAGGCGTGGTAGCACGTGCCTGTAGTTCCAGCTACTTGGAAGGCTGAGGCAGAAGGATCGCCGGAGCCCAGCAGGTCGAGGCTGCAGTGCCCGGGAGCGGCCACTGCGTTCCAGTCTGGGCGACAGAGTGAGCCTCCAACTCAAAAAAAAAAAAAGTTGCTAAGAGGTAAAACCAAAGCATCTCTGTGTTTTCCTGTGGCTTTCCGGAGGGGAAAGACAGCAGACCAGTGCCACGGTACCCTCTACTCTCCACAGGAAATTCCAGCGGGCACCAATTCTCGCCACATCCTGCATCCTGGCGACTCACGATGTTGGCAGCTCGAACGTGCATCTCGTAATTGTCCTGTTCACCCTGAGTGGCCCGGGACACTTGCGTCTCGTCCTCAATCTAGGGGGCAAACAAGAAAGCTGTGAGTCTGCCCAGCAGAACAATCGGGTGTCCCCACCCCTGACCCAGCCTGGCCCACAGTAACCAGCTATCTACCCAGCACACCCACCCCTGCCACATCCCATCTACTGTGCTCTCTATGGACCCTGCACTCGGCTAGCCAGACCTCTGGCACTCCAGCCTGGGCAACAGAGTGAGACCATGACTCAAAGACAAAACAAAACGAGACAAAAAACCCTCAAAACCTGGCTCAGCCAGTTATTGGCTGAGTGACCTTGGGCAAGTGATTAAGTTCTCTGAGCCTCAGTTTCCTCCTCTGAAAATGGAGAGAACAGTGTCCACCTCATAGAGATCTCGTGAGGCTTCGGTGGGACAGGGCACAGGCAGCCGTCACAACTCGGCTTGACACACGGCATGCACTAAATAGATGTTAGTGTCCACTCTTGTATTGGCCACCCAACCTGCTGAGTCTGCAGAGCTCAAGCCATCCCTGGCTGCAACCCGCGCCCCTGCTTAGACGGGCCCAAGTCCTCCCGCCTCAGCCTTCCCAAGTGCTGGGATTACAGGCGTGAGCCACTGCACCCAACAGTGGTGTAAGGTTGTTTTTTTTTTTTTGAGTTGGAGTCTCAGTCTGTCACCCAGGCTGGAGTGCAATGGCACGCTCACGGCCACTGCAGTCTCAACCTGCTGCACTCAGGCAATCCTTCTAACTCAGCTTCCAAGTAATTGGAACTTCAGGCACACGCCACCATGCCCGGCTAATTTTTTTTTTTTTGAGTTGGAGTCTCACTCTGTCGCCCAGACTGAAGTACAGTGGCCGCTCCCGGCCACCCCAGCCTCGACCTGCTGGACTCCGGCGATCCTTCTGCTTCAGCCTTCCAAATAGCTGGAACTACAGGCGCACTCTACCACACCCGGCTCATTTTTAAAAAGTTTATTGTAGAGATGAAGTTTCGCCTGTCCAGGCTGGTCTCAAACTTGTGAGGTCAGGCAATCCTCTCACCTCAGCCTCCCAAAGTGCTGGGATTATAGGCGTGAGCCACCACGCCCAACCTGATGTGAGTTTTAGCTTCTCCCTGGACCCACTGCCCTGCTCACATGCAATCGCTCTGTGGTAGTCCCCACAGTAACTGCCTTACTTACAGATAAATTCATCAGTCATCACAAGGAACCTATGACATGGGGGAAACTGAGGCACTGAGGCATAAGGTTGCCATCCAAACCCATGCTGCTAGTAAGGGGTGGACATGGAGCCGTGGCAGTTTGGCCAATGTCCCCTAGTCTGCCAGGACTTGTAAGTGTTGGGTTTACTCATTTGTTTGTTACTGTTAATACCCCTGCCACCCTCCAAATGCTTTCTCCATGGGGACAAGGACCTTGTCTGTCCTGCCCCCAGAAGAGTGCAGGCTTTGTGTGCCGTGGGTGCTGTTGAAAGTTATCTCAGCTGGGTGCAGTGGTTCATGCCTGTAGTCCCAGCTATTTGGGAGGCTGAGGTGGGAGGATTGCTTGAACCCAGGTCAAGACCAGCCTAGGCAACATAGTGAGACCTCATCTTTACAAAAATCAAAATGTTAGTTGTGTGTGTGGTGACACACACCTGTAGTCCCAGTTACTTGGGAGGCTGAGGCAGAAGGAATACCAGAACCCAGGAGGTTGAGGCTGCAGTGAGTGATGATTTTGCCACTGTTCTCCAGCCTGAGCAACCCCTGACTCAAAAAAAAAAAAAAAAGAAAAGAAAAAGTGGTCTCCAGGCCTGAAACACAGGTCACCCACGTGGTCTCTCTCCACCCTCTCTGGACCCTGCACCTTCTCATCGTTTCAGAAGGTCAGCACAGGGCCCCACCCACCTTGGCGGTCTTGATGATCTCCGTGAAGTTGTCCATGATGGACTTGATGTCATCCTTGAGCCGCTTGTTGTAGGACTGCAGCAGTGTCTCCTTGCTCTGGGGCAGGGCTCTCTGTTGGGCCATGGGGGACCTCAGGCAGCACGGGGCGCAGAAGCCTGGGACCCAGAGTGCAGGACAGACCTGAGTGTGGGCAAAGCCAACTTCAGCCACCCTCCATGTCCCCCCCTTAGCAGAACACACATAACTCTGGAGATTCCCTTTCTCCCAAATAAAGGCACTGATTCAGACACAGCTGAGCCCACTCAATCGGGCCCTGCAGTGGGCCCTGGGACTCCCCTTTGGCCCACCCACCCCTCTCCCTGGGGAAGCTCATCCTGCAATCCTGACCAGCCCTGCCCAGGGCTCCAGGGCTTCTCACTGTCCAGGCTCACAGCGCCTTTGGGGGAGGCCTGCAAGCTCCCCGCCTGCTCCCCATCTGCAGTCGCCTGGCAGGACTTCTCAGCCATCAGCCACCACCCTAGCCAGGCCCCAGATCCAGGGAGCCCTTCGGATCCTACTCCCATCCGTCCCTTTCCTGCCACTCCCACCGCCTTCCGGCCCTTATCCTTATCGGGCCTCCTTCCCTCCAGCCTCCAGGCAACAGGGAACAGGTCCGGAAAAGTGTCTGGTCGTCTCACTCCCTTGCTTAACCCTCCTCCGTGGCTCCCCAAGGCCCTGGGATGAGGAGCTCGTGCCCTGCGCGCCTGGCAGGACACGGGCCCAGCCCCTCTTGGCCCTCGGCCCTCGGCCCCGGCCCGCTGACCAGCCTCGGTGCCGG